CCTCGAAGTAACGACTTGGTTCAACAGGTTTTTTTACTTGTTTTGCAGACATTGCGTGGCTTCGGTTGATTCTAGTCTGTACAGCTATCGTCGGTATGTCGGTCTCTTTCACTACTGTTTACTTGTTTTCTGGCGAACTGTTCCCCACGGTTGTCAGGAACATCGGTGTGGGTACCAGCAGCATGTGCGCCAGGATAGGCTCTATCTCAGCACCTTTCGTTGTCTCGTTGGTAAGTTAGGGGATAACAACGTTAGATTAGGCTATTAATGACTTTACTGTTGCTCGTAAAAAGCAGATAATGATGATAATTTTCGTGCTTAAGCGAGATAACGCACTATAAAGTGTTGTAGAAAAAGAAGAAAATTGTCTTTCGAGGAAGCATCTTTGAATTTTCGTAGAAGCCTTATGTATTTTCACGTATAATTATGTTTTGCACATAGAATTTTGCATTTTTTACAATTTTCATTGATACCGTCACTTTTTGCAATTGTTTGTTTCGATATACGATTCGTCTTAGAGGTTTAATTAAATCCCTTGGCATCGCGCGGGAAAAAAGTAACATTAAATCTTCTGCGATTTAGATTAGATCGGCACCATTCTGTCGTTTTCTACGGAAACGTGAACACATACTATTATTACGTTCTAATAGCAGTTTATTCTAGAAAATTGAGTCGCCAATAGCCGGTGAAAATGCGTGGTTGATGCAATTGCGAAGAAATATTTAATTTGTACGTTTATCGTTCCCTCGTATCGTACATTTGTTATTAATAATTTCTTCATTGTTTGAAGGATCACATCCAAACTTGGCTGCCGCCGGCCTGTTTTGGAATCTTGCCGCTCATCGGTGCTGCGCTTTGCCTTTTCTTGCCAGAAACTGTTGGATGTACGCTGCCAGAGACGCTCGAGGATGGCGAGAACTTTGGAAAGTCAGTGTAATTTTCATCATCACGCGAGATAATTATATCTAATTTTATTTAAATAAAATTTAATAATTCATATTCAATTTCTATCGTGAAAGCTATTTATCACCATTGTTTTTACAATTTTACAAATTTAATTATATTCAATTTCCATCGTGAAAGCTATTTATCACCATTGTTTTTACAATTTTACAAATTTAATTATATTCAATTTCCATCGTGAAAGCTATTTATCACCATTGTTTTTACAATTTTCACTCATTCTTCCTGTTGCCTGTTCGTTACAGGAAACTTCATAAAATAAAGAAGAATCGAAAAGATATCGAAGCAGAGGAGGCACTTTGAGCGAAGACTGAGATTAATTAATACCTAGACATTATATATATGTATAAAGAAAAATAATTAGGAGAAAGTAATAAAATTAAAAACACGGATTTTTATAGAAAAATTAACTGTACATATATAATTAATACTGAGATCATTCCTTTTTCTTTTTTTTTTTTTTTATTTATTGTATTATTCACATCTACGATTTTAACGACATCGTTGTTTCTCTTCACATGCATTGAAGCACGTCGATGAATTCTTTTTATGTATTAATAGTTGATAAGAAATCGATGAAATGTGATGTGTATGTATATTACGAAATTGCTTAACAAAAATATTCTGGAATATTCAAGGCCGTTTTAAAACATATTTTCGACTTCGGAAAGTTGACGAATATTATTTACTGTTGACGAATGTTGCGACAATTGCGAGAAGAGTGCCTTCTACCATTTGTATGTGAATATCTAAATAGATCTTATATTTTATAAAAGTTGTTTATTTTTCCCTAAGTTCTCTACAGCTGTCAGGTATAATTTTATATAATGATTACAGTAACGTAATTAATTTAATGGGCAGTGAATATTAAATAGTTTTCTACACATGTATAAGTGTACATAATTGTTTTTCACTTGTACAAAATAGTCTTCATCCTCTGAAATTTAAAACTTTTAACACTAGAACTACCTATCAATCAGGGCATAAAATTTTACTAGAGACAAAGTAAAAAGAAACAGAAAAATTTTGTATAATACAATAGAGCTTTTATTTATATATTTTTCGAAAAGTCATCTAAATTTGTAAAAACACATTGTTTTACGTTTATAAAATTTTTAACAAAAATTAGAAATTGGTCACTTTGATCAGTTTGGTAGTTTCAGTGTTAATATCAAGTGATGCATTCCTTTATCCTTATAATATAAATGGAATATTACAATTTTAATTACGTTAATAATAAATCAATACAATTAATAATAAATTCATATTTATGAGATTTTTCTTCATTTCCTTTAGTTCATAATTCAGTCCATAATTTTCAATATTGATAAAAACTGAGTGACAAGCGAATTTATTGCTTGTATTTCACACGAAAACTTGGTGGAAACATATCCGTGATTATTTTTACTGCCTTATACTATTCAAGGATAAGGCCGTTTTTCATTCACATGATAAGAGTATTCATTTTTGTTCACATTTATGGTTATGACCAAGGATAAACGCAGACATGCAAGACTTGCTCTACTTGTTTCAACAACCGAGCCAAAGTAAGAATCGATCGATCAATCGTTCAAGGTAATTTTCTTACTTTATGACTTTAAATTTAATTTTTAAGACTAAAACTAAAGCCGAAGATCGAAACATGAAATTTCCGTCAGAGACATTGAAGTAAAAGAAAAAAAGAAGAATAGAAAGCTTTACAATACAACAGAACACAGAAGCGTTTATTTATGCATTTTACGAAGAACTATTTAAATCTCTAAGAGTACACAGTTTTATATTTACAAAGTTTCAAAGGAAAATTACAAATTGGTCATTTCGATCATCATTGTTAAATGATGTATTGCATTTAAAAAAAAATTTGTCCTATTTACTGACAGATGAAAAGTTGTCATAATGGAAGTCAAGTGATACATAAAATGGAAATGTTAAGTCGAACGATGGTCTTGACGCCAGCACAAAAGAAGTGCCATTTCCAACGTGTCCATTTAGGAGGACTTCCAGGTATATAAAGTACCATAGCACAATGAACTATCGCGTCACTCTGTCTTGGATCGTTTCAGCAGAAGGCCGGTTTGCTCTTCGAATACGAATAACGGATTATTCGCAATCTGGACGCGGCATTCGCGTTTTAAGTGGCCGCAGTTCTCCACTTCTCCTCGATCGTTTCGGTTCAGTTTTACGATCGGACGTTCGACGTGTTCGAATTTGAAAACAGAGGTAAGAGGATACGATTTAAATTCAGCATCGTTTACTATCGCGCATTTGACTCGACTTATTTTGAATTCCATTTGATTGAAATTTATTTAGATAGAAATTCGAACGTGAATACTGTCACTGTGTTCGACTCTTCTCATCGTATTATAATTTCTTCTATTTATTTCAACAGACAGATCGTATCATAAGGATTATTTTTCTTCTTTATTTTGTCGTTGCGACGTGTTTTTACCGTGGTATTTAAAAAAAAAAGAAAAGGGCTTTACAACGTTAAGATTATATTTCACGATGCATATGTTATGTTAAATTTACATTTTTACATCTTTGTACAGTGCGTACGTCTCGTTTTATGATTTATAGAGATACAGATATGTAGAAATTGAATGGCTAATAAAAATTTAATAGTTGCCGCTTTGTGCTTCGAGGTATAGTGGAAAAGACGATTTAAATTCTCTGCCTGGTATCGTCTATTACGTCCGTAGTCTATAGAAAAGACACGATAGAATAATTGCCGATTATTTCGCCGTATTTTCTTGCCTATTGTATCGTCATTGTAATATAAAACTTGAATTGAAGACCCGAGTTCCGGCGTTATAATTGTATAACTATAATTTTCGAAATAATCCAAAAAAAAAAAAAAAAAAAAAATAATAAACCAAAAGAAAAAAATAGAAATAATAGAAAATAATAAAATGAAAATGATATAAAAATCAAGACAGAAAAGGCAAAAATTAACGCTGCGTGAAAAAAAGTTGTTTTTGACTTACATTTCGAGACACAGTGTACTCTTACCTCTTCAGGGCATTTGATCAACTCTTTCGCAAGACATTTTAAGCCTGACACACTTATGTACGAAATAAAAAGTCAATAATAAAATATCGAAATCAATTTAGAAAAATTTGATACTGTCAGAACTATTTTCACAAAATAGATATATATTAAATAATTAGTAACATGTCTATTTTGATAAAATATTTATATATAATTTATTTATATTATATACTAATTGGATTTTATTTTAATTTAAAACAATTAATTTGCAATTAACAGATATTTAATAAATCTGGCCATTAGAAATAATGTTTATTATTATATTTTAATTTAAAAAATTAATTCTCTTTATCAGACATCTAATGAAAAATTAATAAATTAACAGTATATATATATATTAAATAATTAGTAATATGTCTGAAAAAGATATATTTTGATAAAGTATTTATATATAATTTATTTATATTACATACTAATTGGATTTTATTTTAATTTAAAACAATTAATTTGCAATTAATAGATATTAAATAATAAATCTAGCCATTAGAAATAATGTTTATTATTATATTTTAATTTAGAAAATTAATTCTCTTTATCAGACATCTAATGAAAAATTACTAAATTAACAATATATATGTATATATATAAAATAAGGTAATTAAAAAGGTATAAATAAGGTAATTAAAGGTATTAGGTTCATACCCTGACAGCGTTTTGTACCATTATTAATAAATAAGTTTCACAGTTAATAAACAAACGCGTTTATCGTTTTGTAGATATGCGGATCCTTCTATTGTTCATGCCTCTCGCATTGGCTAATTGCCACGAAGTGAGGACAGTTTATTCGTGGAACAACGTCGAGTACAATTTCCCAGCCACTGTCAATCCAGACACTCTAATGTCCGATGGTGAATACATTCCAGAAAATAACGTGCCACTTGGCATGGAAATTTGGGAAGACAAGATCTTTATTACGGTGCCGCGATGGAAGGACGGTGTCGCGTCTAATCTAAACTACATTTCGAAGAACGACACGTCAAGTATTTATTTATTGCCTTATTGTACCAGATTTCATTGATTTCTACGAATTTTCTTACGTTTGCCTTCCAGTAGAATCTCCGAAATTGACTCCGTATCCAAGTTGGGAGATCAATCACATAAATGTTCCTAACGACATCGTGAACATCTTTCGCGTGAAAGTCGACGCGTGCGATCGATTGTGGGGCGTCGACACGGGTATCGATGATATTTTAGGGGCAAGCAGGCAAGTACGACCCGTCAGGATTTTCGTCATCGACTTGAAAACGGACAAGGTAGCGTAACAAATTTACTTCACTTATTTGTTCGTAATTAAGTGTTTAGAGACACGTTCAATTCACCTTAGGTTTTGCGTTAGGATAGGGCAGGTATAATCTTATATTATTCAAAGATACTTTCCCTATATCTCTCTAAGACTTTTTTCCCGGGCTATGCTTTTCGCAGCATTTTGAACTTGAGCTCGTAAGATTGTGTTGTCTCCTTTCATCTTCGTGTTATGGGACAAACTGTTAATATAAACAGATTTACTTCATTTATTTGTTCGTAATTAAGTGTTTAGAGACACGTTCAATTCACCTTAGGTTTTGCGTTAGGATAGGGCAGGTATAATCTTATATTATTCAAAGATACTTTCCCTATATCTCTCTAAGACTTTTTTCCCGGGCTATGCTTTTCGCAGCATTTTGAACTTGAGCTCGTAAGATTGTGTTGTCTCCTTTCATCTTCTGTTAATATAGGTAGATTGCATGATACTTGGTTCTGTTCCTGTGATTAGATAGCAATGTGTCCAATTCTTATTCCTGTTAGTAATTTACTTTTTGTTCAACTGTATGTGTGAAATATTGCTGACGATAACATTTCAGATATTGAGGGTCTATCCTCTGAAAAGTACAGACCAAGTGTCTAACTCTTTCTTCGCCGATTCGGTGGTCGACGCGGATCCGGACAACTGCGAGAACTCGTACCTCTACATTTCCGATCTGAGCGGATACGGTTTGGTTGTTTACAGTTGGGCCAACAACGATTCCTGGCGGATCACGCACAACTTCTTCCACTTCGACCCCCTTCACGGTGAGGTACTTTGTTGTGCGCAATAGCAATTTCCAAAGATGAGTTATATATAAAAATTTTCGGATTTTCCTTTCTTTTCTAGCTCCACCACTTGTACTTGAACAGAATATAAAATATAATAATTTTTAAGACCAACAGTCTTTCCTAACGACAAGCAATATCACTCGATAACATTTTTAGAACTTGTGAAAAGATATTTTGTAATCTTTCTAACTAATATCTTGCCATTACTTTCTTCATTCTCGAATTTTTCTTTTCGAATTTCTCTAACTTTTCATAAATAGATCGCGAAAGGAACTAGGCGCGTCTTGGCTCACTCTGTAGCTCATTATTAAAATTTCATGGAAATTCATCTCGCTTGATCCACTCTGCGGCTCGTATTATCGAAATTATCATTACGATTAAAATTTAATAGTTAATTAAATTTTAATTAATCCTGGGAATTAATAGAAGTTAATTAAATTTTAATTAATCTGGTTTCTAGGGAACTTCAACATCAGTGGATTCAACTTCCAGTGGCAGGATGGGATATTCGGAATGTCACTGTCCGCGCCGCAAACCGACGGTTACAAAACGTTGTATTTCCACGCGATGTCCGGCATCACCGAGTTCTCAGTGTCCACCGAAGTTTTGCAGGACAGCACGTTGAAGAAGTCGAGCAGCTACGACGCATTTCGCGTCGAGGGTGAGAAGGGCCCGCTCACTCAAGGGCCAACCTCTGTGATTGACGCCGGCACTGGTATCAATTATTTCACTCAAGTGAGCAAAAATGGCATCGCCTGTTGGGATACCAGCGTCGAATTGAACCCAAATACCTTCAGTAAGTAGTTAAGATGAATAATACCTTCAGCGAGCAACATTAAAGTAATAATTCTCTTTAATTCTCGAGATGATAGGGGAATCATTCGGTAGCTCAGTCGGTAAAGCATCGGTAAAGCACTATTAATTTGAAAAAAAAAGACATTGTCCTTTAGGACAACAGCACGAGAGAGCTCTGTGTGGATAAAAACTGTCCCTTTTATGGGAAAGGTGGATTTTAGTTGGTAAAAATCCGACATTACCTGTGGGTCTTCCCTTAAAAGACTCAGGTGTTTTACGAAGATTTTCTCCACGTAAAAAGAAAAAAAGGGAATCATCCGACAAAAATCCAGTCACGAGATTTTGAAGGTTTA